GTTAAGACCTTTAGTTTAGTATATAAAAAGAAACTGCTTATTTTATAGAAACAAAAATGCAGGAAAAATAATGTAAGATTTTTGAATTTTGAGCAGAAAAATATGTGAATTGAAAAGCTACAGAATTTGGGTTTTGGAATCAAACAAATTAAGGATGCAGTTGGCTCCATCCTTTTACTGTGCAACCTTGAGACAGATTCCTTTCTCTCTCCAACCCTGTTTCCTCAATAAACCAAGAATACTATCTTTAAAGACTTTTAAAGGAATCAAATGAACCAATATATGTAAAGCGCTAAGCACAATGTCTGGTACAAAGCAGTATGCCAATTTTCAAAAGGTTAATCAGACTGATTCAGAGAAAGTGTGAGATTTAAGGAATAGGATAAATAGCTGACCAAGAAAGTAGAATATACTCCTCAGGTACTCAACTTTTTTAACTTTAAAAATGAGAACAAATTTCTCAGATTACCAGATAATTACAAATGTTAGGCTGCATCTATACAAATGTCCTTTTACCCTTCTTTTTATAATTCTTTAAAGTTCCATGTTCATATAATTTTCTTCCATACTCTCCCTAAAGTTCTGACTCAGATTCTCCTTACTTTGGCCCTGGGATGACTTAATTCTTAGCCAGACAGACACACCTTACAGTTCACTTAGTATTCTAAAGACTTCTGGGAGAAAGCCAGAAACCAGCATCAAAGAGGTTAGAAAGAATCCATGTGGCATAATAAAAAGGACATGGGCTATGGAAACAGACTGACATGGGTTTAAGTCCTACCACTACTACTTTCTAGACTTATAACCCTGGGCAAGGCATTTAAAACCTCTCTGGACCACATTTTCTCTTCTGTAAAAAGGAGATAATTGCCCTATATCTCATAGTGTACTTATCAGGATTACAGAAATGCCAATCACAATTCTTGGCACAAAGAAGACCAATTAATGGTAATTATTATTCGCATACAACTGCCAAGTGCCATATTGAATACTTTGCCAGGCTGTACTTTTTAACTGGCAAAAGTCATACTGCTCCCACATTTCCATGCTTATATCCAAAACATTCTGTTTTGTGATCCATAATTAACCAAATCAAGAGCTTAAACAATTTAGGACAAGAAAGGACTAATGTGGTTCAATGCATTCTCTCGTGACAGCAACAAAGCCAGGACAGGTAGGTACAGTTTTCCAAAACGGAGTCTGTCAGAATACTGATAGTGATATAAACACAAACTAGTTGAGGTTCTTAGGTTTGTACTTTATTATCAGAAAGTTTTAACTTTTCTAAAATAAATCTTCTCCTGCCTTGTTTTCTCTGCTGTTTCTTTTTTTGTTTTTTTGAGACAGGGTCTCACTCTGTAGTTAAGACTGAACTGGAACTCACTATGTAGCCCAGGCTGGTCTCGAACTCTCAGCGATCCTCCTACCTCAGCCTTCCAAGTGCTGGGATTACAGGCATGTGCCACCACGCCCAGCTTCTCTGCTGTGTTTCAATGCTCCTGATACCCATTTTTCAAGAACACAAGGAAGAAATCCTCTCAAGGGCTACTACATTCACTGTGGAACTTATCTTCACTTTTCACAATTTATTTCTAGAGATTTTTGGTTTGCTGAGTTCATTTAATGTGAGCTTATGAAGAACACTACACAGAAATATATCATACTTCCAACGACAAGATCTGGCCTCCAGAGCACCCTAAATTACAGGATGGAGGCAGGTTCTAAAGATAAAATGTGACTGAGGGTAACATGCACACCCTATGTTCCTTCTGCACTTGGGAATTCTAGCTGTTACAAAAAGTTTATTTTCCTTGTAACAGAACTAAAAAATCTGATGACAGATACATGAATGGAATAAGGGAAACCATCAATGGAAATGTGACTTGACATAAATAAGTTTGCCATATGGTTACAAATAAGTCACTAGGTACATAGCCAAAGGCTATTTCAATCCTAGTATTCCCAGTTCCTCCACAATAGAACAGAAGAGAGTCAAGGTCAGAAGATTAAATAGAAAATCTAAGAAAAGGGCTTAACAGGGCCAGGGGTTTAGCTCAGTGGTACCGAGGCCTGTCTTGCAAGTGCAAGGACCCAAGTTCAATCCCTGGTAAAAAAAAAAAAAAA